AGTTACCAGAATGGGTATATATAATGTTTTTTGCTTTGCTCACCCTTGCTACTGGAGTCCGCACATTGGGATCTAAATCTGATGGGGGATTCTCGTATTCCAAACACAACCCTTGTAGTTTGGAAAGCTGCTATGTCGGCCTATACCCTGAACTGTACTGCCACCACCACCTGCGCCATGACGAATCCACCACGACCGTCAACAGCACCAGCAGAATCAACAACACAACCAAAGCCGCCGAAGTTTTGGAGTCTTCCAAAGGACGAGCTGGCCTGTTTCGCCGGCCGCCATGGCCCTTTGAAGATCGAGGCAACTGTCGGAACTGGGCACTTCACGAAAGAAGACAGTATGGTGGCTGGTAGGTATCCATGTCGTAAGGGCCTAAGAGTTTACACCTGCAGGAATTCCAAGGGGCTATGAGCTTGACAAGCCAGACAGGGTGATTCCTTGAAGTGGGATCCCCAGTGTCTCTACACTATGGAGTTCTTGAAGACACTATAGTCGGGTATGCGGAGAATGGACAAAGAGACGACAAGAGTTTGAATGCATCTTTCTTTGAGCCATCTGTATTGTCCTAGAGTACATGACTATGTAGGCCAGAAGCGAGTATCCTTATTCCCTACGAACCACCAGTAAGTCACGAGGCTTGGTGAGTCGATCTTTTGTGCTGCGCACACCAGACATGCAGGCTCCACGGAAAGGACCTTGCAAATCACCCTTACACAGTCCCTCATATAATCCAATATAACTCTAATATAACCCCANNTAACCCCAATATAACTTATAACCTTGATATTATGCCCCTTTAAACCCTTATAACCCCTTGTTGAACCCTTCACCCACAAAGAAGCCGTTTTTCGCTGTGCAGCCGCTGGAGTTTGAGACGGGCCGGCCAAACTTGAAGGCTTGTCGATTTCGCAAGGGTTAAGGGTTTATATAGGAAAAAAGCAGAACACAGTGGAAATTATTGTGTTATAATCAGGTATATATACTCCTAAACCTTACATATTGGGAGAGTGTCCTTGGGGATCTTGGGGTCCATTGATTTCATTGCTTCCCACAGCTCCGAGCTGCAAGCGTGGGTTTGTGCCATGTTTTGATGTCTGCCGGATTGAGGATCGATGGGGGTTCTCCGTTTTCATTGATTTGTAGGGTTAGGGGACCTAGTAAGCATGTTAATAATGGGGAT